CCTGGCATGTAGCAAGCATTCTATAAATGCTTATTCCCTCCCTTCTTATTCTCAGAACTTGCCTTTTAGGACTCTTATCTCAGATGAGGAACCTGCTAGATAGCTCCCTTTCCAGGATGTACCTTGACACACTGATTCTGACTTTAACGCAGACTTTGATACAAAAGTTCAGAGTACAACTAAATAGTTTCCCTCTCCTAGTCCCTCCCAAATAAACTTAAACTTCATGATACTCTTGTTAAAAATAAATCCGAGAATGAGGTTATCAAAACAACCAAACTCAAGTAGTAATGAAGCTCTAGATTCCCCAACTCCACTAATATTGATTGTTGGCTGGGAAGAAAGTTACTTTGACACAAGACTGAAAATAAGTTTTGTTATCAGCTTAAGAGAAAGCTATATACCCACAACGAGAATCACTACTATTTTTTCCACTTATAAGCAGCGAATGAAGCAAAATATTTTTATAATTTATTTGGTCTTTTTTATTTAATCAGGGATACTATCAACATTCTGTAGGAAAGCACTCATTTTTTTCTTTATCTAAGACTTCCTTTTGGGTATGTCATACCCAGATAATTCAACATACACATTCCCTGTTGATTTATTTAAGTTCCATTTGACTGACTAAATCGTTACTTAATAAATTTCTGGTCTGTACACATGGACTGAAAAAAAAAAGTAACTATGGCTAAAAGCATGCAGAAAGGATGTAATTCATGGAGAGATGGTATACTTCAACATTATCTAACACTAAGAAAATTCTATCCTCAGTCCCCTACTCAATAAATTCTAGTGACTCCCTATCACCTCCAGGATCAAATACAAATACTCAGGTTAATTTAAAGCCCTTTATAACCTGGTCTCCACCTACCTTTCCAGACTTCTTATACTTTATTACTCCCCTCTCCCACCCAAGCAACAAGTACTCTTCCACCAATGAAACTGGTCTCTTTGCTAAGCCTGCAACAAGATCTTCTAATTCCTGACAGAATTTTTACTGGCTGTCCTCTATTCTTGGAAAGCTCTCCCTTCTTATCCTTGCCTCCTCATTTCCCTGGCTTCCTCCAAATCCCAGCTAAAATCCCACCTTTTATAGGAAGTGTTTCCCAATCCCTCCTAATTTTTCTACCTTCCCTCTACTGATTATTTCCAATGTTCCTGTATGTAGCTTTGCTTGTACATAGTTTCATATTTGTACATAGTAGCATGTTGACTCCATTAGATTGTGAACTAGAGAACAGAGACTACTATCTTTTGACTTTCTTTGCATTCTTGGGCTTAGGACAGTGCTTAATAAATGTTTACTGACTAAGGGGGTTTTTTTACTTTCCTATATTCATGCTACAATTTTTTTTAAACAAAAAGCCAAATAGACACAAGTCTAAGAAAGCACTCATTATTAGATTCTTCAAGTCTTACTTCTTCAAAATCTTTGGACAAAGCTGCTTTGCCTGAAACAACTGACTTTAGTGGAAAAACCAGTTAATTTAGTACACTAATTATAGGGAAGAATGATATTTTAAGGTGGACTAAGACTTGCTGTCAAGCAGTCAAAAAGGAGAGTTGAACTCTGGGAAGGAAGGCCAGTCTATTGGTAGTTCACAGTTTAATCACCTCCCATCATTGTATAAAATATGTTGCTTTCATAAGTGTACAATTCCAATTTTGGTTGTTCTTTTTATGAGAAAGTTATTTCATTCACTAGGGAGTGCTTCCTATTGCCTCCAGGATCAAATAAAATCGTTTTGGCTTTTCGTAACCAGGACCCTTCCTACCTTTCTAGTCTCTTACACTTTTCATCCCTTCAGGTACTCTGTCACCCAGTGACACTGGCCTCCTAGCTGTTTTCGCACATAGCATTCCATCGCCTAACTTGAGAAGTTTTCACTAGCCAGAAACTCTCTTCCTCCTCATCTCTGCCTCTTAGCTTCCCTGGCTTCAAAAATTTCCCTCAAATATCAGCTAAAATTCTACCTTTTGCAGGCAGCCTTTCTCAGTCCCCCTGCCTTCCTTCTCAGACAAACTCCTGTATATATGTTGTTTGTACATCATGTTTGCATATTGACTCTCCTATTAGAGTGAGTGTTCCTTGAGAGAAGGAACTATTTTTTGTTTGTTTGTTTGTTTTGATATCCCCAGCATTCAGCCTAGTGCTTGGCACAGTACAGGCCCTTAATAAATGCTAGTTGATGGACTTCATTTTTGCTGGAGTCATGCTTTTACTAGTGTAGATGCTCTCTCCATAGATGGATATCACGATGCCTTTACTGTTTACTGCATGTATGCTGGTAAGATTCCATAGAGGGTTTTTGTAACCCTACCAGCCCATAAGCAATAAATATATTCAGTGGTTCCAGGCATTAATTCCTAAGATTCTGGAAGAAATTATTGGAAAGGAAACATGGAGATGGTAGGTTACACTCTTTTCTACATTGTAATTCTGTCATAAAAGATGGAAAATGCCACTTTAGCCCTTAGGAATTTGTTTCTATTGTTGAAGAGATATCTCCTTTCAGACTCAGGAGCTTCTCTTCTACTCCGCCAAAAACAAAGCCATAATTAATATCTGGAAGGCTTCAATTCAGTTTTATGATGTCAGAACTAAACAGGTTGTGAAGGAGATGAAGTTGATTCAAACTGGTGTTAATTAGACAAGATGTTAAGGAAATTTTAAAAGAAACCAAGGGGAAATGCTTTGAAAAGTCAGTAAAGGGCAAAAAAATTCTCATGGTTCCTCCAGTCTGTCAGACTGATATATCTATGGGTAAAAGAGAAAGAAAAATATAATAAGCATCTTGATTTTCCTTACCCACATGGGGAATGCAGCAGTAAAAGCTGGATTAACACCTAGATTAACAAAGGCAGGAATGTCAATCATGTTACCTGGCCTACAAACAACATAAAAGGACGCATAAATGTGGAGGGTCCAAATGGGACCCAATGTTTTGTAAGTGATTCTGAAATACTTTAAAGCCTTTTTAAAGGCCTAAAATTGGGCAGACTGTCAGGGGTAAATCAGAGAAAAAAACTTATAATTTGTGTAAAAAGGGTCATCTTTGGCCAGCTGAAAAAAAAAAAAAAAGGAAGGCTTCATGCCCTAACAGAGCTGCCTCTGGCTTTTTAAGTCACTACCTCATTTCAGACAACAATTACCTTCCAATAGTTTGGCCCAGCTGTGCCCTTCTATTTGCTCCTGTTTGTCATTAAGCGCTTGTGTAGTGTTTGTTCTCATTCTATAGCATTTATGCAGGAAGCCAGCGATGCAAGCTCCCTAGCCTGTGATTCTTCCCACAGATAATAGAGAATAAATTGCAATTAGATTTTGGTAATTGTATATAATTAACTCAAAATGAGCTGTTAATTATAAAAAAATATGTTTTCAGTTCCTGATTATATCATTTATTTTAGTTCCAAATTCTTAATGCCTCACTTGAGTAAGTTTAATATTTTAAATACACTGAGTATTTTTTAATAGTAAGATAATTTAAATTTCCAGATAAACAAAATTCAGTTTAAAATTAAGTTTCATCTTGGGAGTTCCTCTGGCAAACTCAAACAGCTTGGAAGGTAAAAAGAGGGTCATTTCCACAACAATTCTTGATTGTACTTTCCAAAACCACCAGCACTTGGTATTTAAACAATTTTACCAAGTTCTTTAATAAAAGAGCCAGATTGTTCAGGGCTGTACAGTATTCCCTTTTGTCCCATCTCTAGCTCTCTCTGGGATATCTAAGACAACACCATTTCCACAGCCAACTATATAAAGGAGACAAATGGACTTGTCGCCTTCGCCTTTTCCAGCCTTACATTAGATTAAATAATTTAAGCAGCCTTGACTGAGTAACCTCAGTGAAAAGAAGACAGACGATGGGAAACACATTTCCCGATGATTGTCTGCCAGACTTTGGAAGTAGCTGATAGAGGTGCCTTAAACTGCTATGATACAGATTAACTTTGAAAAAGCATCATAGTCTATCAAGGGCATATTACAACAACAACAACAACAACAACAACAACAACAACAACAACAACAACAATAATCCTGCATCTTAACCTGTTGAGGATTTGAAGCCTGTATATATTTTTACCTTATTTCTGAAGTCATTATTTGGGTGAGGGGCACAAATATTCAGCAGATACACCTAAATCTTTTTGGGCAATTCCATGTGTTGTGGACTTGCCTGGTATTGTCCAAGGTCTTATTTATTTATCTGGCTCAGATAAAGAAAGGGTCCTCAAGCCTTGAGAGGTAAAAAAAAGAAAGCGATTCTGTTTATTTGTAGCATGGCAGCTAAAAAATGGTTAGTCTGACAAAAGTAATGTTGTCAATTTCAAAGCACAAAAGGAGAACAGAAAGCCCAAAGATTTGCTGCCTTAAAGACTCCACTGTTTCATGGAACAGTGTTCATACACATCACTTCTTGACCAGTGTCAAATAACAGTAGTAGCACCTTTGGATAACAGGTATATACCCAAACGTTTTTATATGCATGTATAGTTGATAACTATGCCTCAAATATTAAAATAATTTATTAACTGTCCCTTTTTAATGACCTCAGCTTTAGTATTGTAAACATTTCTTGTCCATAGTATTGGCCTTTTATCAGCTGACATGAGAAAGGGCTTCCCACTAATGTGCCTCTCTTAAGGGGTGGGTTCTTTTATATAAAACTACAGATCCATAAAAAATATAGACCTAACTTCTTAGCTTTTTGAAGTCCAAGAGAAAAATAATGATCTTCAAGTACTTGATGTGTTTTTAAGACATTTTCTGCATAGAAAAAGCACATACGACTGGGAATCTTTCTTAACAACGGAAAAGGACTCCAAACTACTAGTGAGTTTAAAATTAAAACAATGTCAATTTATGAATTGCATGGTGAAACAGAATACGTAAGCAAATAAAAACAATGATTTGGAGGGAAAACTTTAAAAAAGTACTTGATGAATAAGATAGATGGAGTGAAGGGAGCATTTCTGCATCCTCCTGGGATTACCTTAGATCTGTGCCAATTCCATTCAATGAAAGATTCGGTTCTTGGGTTTTCCTGAGTGCTTCATCAAAGGCAGTATCTCTTGAATTAAACTCAGCCTGGCTTTTTAACCTGGAAAGATGGATACAGTGAGTTCCTAAACCTGTGGACATTGAGGAATTAGAAACCCTTAGAAGGTTGTACTCTGACTCTTGGTTATAAGAAATTAATCTCTATTATGTTAGATACAAAATATATCATAAATTTATATAACACACACACACACACACACAATGCTGGTCTTTATGTACAAGAAAAAGGCATGGAGGAACATTCCTGAAAAACAAGACTGTGGATAATCTCAGAGGACACAAAATCTAGTTTCTAGAAACTCAAGGCTTCACAGAATGCTGTGGCTTAGGTTAGCAATAATATGGAAGAGAATATCAGAAGTGTCTTAGAAGGAAGAGGAAAAAGTTGATAATAATAAATAACACTTAACATTTATAAAGTATTTTTAGGTTTTCCAAGTACTTCACAGATAGTATTTCATCTGGTCCTGACAACAACCCTGTGAAGTAAGTGCTATTATTATAATGGTTTTACAGAGAATGAAACTGAGGCTGAGAGAAAGTAAGTGACTTGTTCAGGGTTGAAAAATCAGTAAATGTCTCAGGCAGAATTTGGAGTTTGATCTATCATATGTTAAGTAATGAGGAAGAGGTATGAAGTGGATGCTAACTGCATGCTTGAGACCCTCTCTTGGACAACACTGAGCAAATTTCACTGATGTTGAAAACTTTGGCAGGAATCTGCTAATTGTCAATAAAATGCAGCTAAATAGAGTAAGGTCATAATGAGAAAAGGTGAGAATCATGACACAAACAGGTGAAGATTTACTTAGAAGCCTTGCAGTAGCTGATCCTTCAGGGTAGCATATACTGACATGATGTTGTGGCACTGCATACCCTGTCCCCTGCTCAGCTGTAGATAACAAAGTGCCAGGAGGATGGCTAATCAGGTCAATGGCCTAGAGAATCCTGTTCCCAGCTTCTCCCTCACAAATACCAATATCCAGTGAGAGCCTGAGCTCCATAGTCACTCTACAACTCCATGACTCGGTTACTTTTTCACTTGGCCCCATAAAAGGAAAGAATCATTCTCATTGAACCATTATCAAATTCAAGCACTAGGTTTATCCTCATCACAAATTCTAATTCTTTATTCATGCTTCCTATTTGCAGGTCAGTCTCTAATAATAATGACATAATAATAATAATTTTATATAGCACTTTATGGTTTGCAAACCATTTTATATATATATTAATTCATTTGACCCTCACAACAATCCTATGAAGTAGGTGTTATTATTAATCCCATTTTACAAATGAGGAAACTAGGTAAACAAAGGTTAACTGACTTTTCCAGGATCACAACTAGCAAGTGTCTGAAGCAGGATTAGAATTCTGACTCCAAATTCTGTGCTTTATCTACTACACCATCTAATACTTGAGCAACACCAATGAGACTATGTCCTAATGCTCAAAAATAAGCATATGAATTAACGAGCACCTATGTCTCCTTGAGATCTCTGTGGCTGCTACCTATAGTTTTGGCATACTTTATCTTCTGTTCATGAAAAGTAATTGCCTCACATTTTTACCAAAAGATTTGGCAATGAGAACAACATAATCCAGTGGAAACAGTGCTGGATTGGGAAGCAGAGGATCTGGTTCCAATCCTGGATCCACTATTCACTGCCCTGCAGCCTTGGGAAAAACACTTAAGTTCTCTGAGTCTTGGCTTCCTCACCTGTGAAATAAAGAGACTGGATTAAATGACTTCTAAAATCTCTTCTAACTCTAAGTCTATGATCCCTTTGATCCTATGAACTATCAACAAGGATAACAATTATTATACTGATAATAATAATAATCATAGCATCTCTCTAGCACCTATATGCAAGACACTGTCAGTGGCTTTACAAATATTTCATTTGATCCTTACAACAACACAGGGAGACAGATGCTATTATTATACCCATCTTACAGATGGGGAAGCTAAGGCAAATAGAGGTTAAGTGCCTTGTCTGAGGTCACTCAGGTCTTCCTGACTCAAGACCCGGCACTGTACCTCCTAGCTGCCTCTAAGGAGGATTGAGGTTTTGCTTTCAATCAAATATGAAGGGCAGTGGGATTTTTGCAATGACCTGAATAGAGTAGACAATGCTTTATTTCTATCAGTGACTAGTAATAGCTATAAATGTACTGAGTCAAGGAGGAGAAGTTGAAAGGGATCAAAGAATATCTCTACTTATCAGTTATTGGGTAAAATGAAGTGTTCCTTGAAAAGAATGAAAGAAGTGCTTTGAAGAGAAATAAAAAAAGAAAAATGGAAGAGAAATATAGGAATCCTAACTGTGCCAGGACACTAGAAGGTAGAAGAATGTGACCAAAAAAAAAAACAAAAAAGGAAAGAGAGAAGGATCTCTGAACATTTAAAGTTATACAATAGATATGAGACTTCTCATAGAGGAGGTAGCTGGATGCTCTAAGGAAGAATCAGCTTCTTGTGTTCAAAGAAATGACACAAATCTACAGGTCTCATTAAAAGTAAAATCATTGAATTCATGATTCCATGGCAAGAGGAAGAAAAGACTAGCAACAGTGGTTGTCAGTTTTTTGGTAAGGTAGCTATTTGTTGATCTGGATCAAATAGAGAGGTTGCTATCTTCCCTGGGCATAAACCTGATATAACAAGGAGAGACTCCCAAAATTTGTTAAATCTAAAGACTACCATGACTCCTGGTGATTAATACAGGGACCAATAGAACTGCAGGAAACAACTGAAAAAACACAGTCAGGAATAATGAAGTCCTGGACAAGAAACTGAATACCACAGGTGGTGTTTTCATCACTGTGGTTCAATTGAAGACTGAGGCTTCAGAAGAAAAAGACAGATTTAGGAAGTGACCACTTGATTAAGAAATGACTAAGAATAGTATTTAGATGTCTAGATTATAGTTTAAAATATAGGAATGATAAGTCATTAGGGATGGAGTATGATGAGAGATAATAAACAAAAATTTATTACATAAACTCATTATTAAAAGAATGGTTATTGATCTTACAATAAAAAGGAAGTAGTGATAACAAAGAATGAACAAGATTTCATCCAAAAGATAAAATGTTAGGCTAATTTTATTTCCTTTTTAGACAAGGAAATGAGGAAAATGATGATATTATTTACGCAGGTTTTAGCAAAGCGTTTGACAAAGCCTATCATGTTATTCTCATGGAAAAGACTGGAAAGATATGGGCTAGATAATAGCACAATTGAGTGGAATTTGAACTTCCTGAATGGACAGATTGAAAGAGTAGTTATTAATTGTTCAATGCTAGCTTGGAAGCAGTTCTCTAGTAGTGTGCTCAAGAGAACTTTGATTTACCTCATGCTGTTTAATGTTTTTATTAATGCCTTGGACAAAAGCAAAGGTAGTATTCTTAATAAAATTTTAGTAGACCCAAACCTGGGAAGGACAGCTAATACACTGGATGACAGAGTAATGTTCCAAAAAGATCTCAAAAGGTCAACTCTAATAGGATGAAATTTAATAGAGAAATCATAAACACCTGTATTTGGGTTAAACTGGGAAAACAAAAACTTTGGGAGTTGAATCATAGAAAAAGAATCTTAAAATGGTGGTCAAAAGCCATTGGCGTAAGAAGAATTAACACTTAAGAAAATTGTTGTTGTTCAGTCATTTTTCAGTCATAGCTGACTCTTCGTGATCCCATTTGGGGTTTTCTTGGCAAAGATATAGGAGTGGTCTGCCATTTCCTTCTTTAGCTCATTTTACAGATGAAGAAACTGTGGCAAACGGGGTTAAGTGACACACACAGTTAAGGGTCACACACAGTTAGGACATATCTGAGGCTAGACTTTAACTCAGTTTTCCTGCTTCCCAGCCCAGTACTCTATCCACTGCATCACTTAGGTGCCCCACTTAAGAAAATAGCACAGTTTTTTAAAGTGCATCTGAACATAAAATAAATATCTCAAGTGGACTTTACTAAGACAGGAATTGGAAGTCATATCCTTAATGAAGACCAGAGAGAAAAAAAAAATTTCAAAAAGGTTCTTTGGCAGGCAATTTGTTAAAGCAGGAACATTAACAGAGTGGAGTCTGAATGTGGAAGATATTGACAAGCTTTACCAAATGAATCCAATGTACCTTATGACTAGGTAAGTCCGACTTTATAAAGCTGTTACAAAGGATTCTACAGGACAGACATACATACTTCTCCCTGAATGTAAATACTCTTCCTGAATCACAAGCTTCTAGTTAAAATCTTATATTCTTACTTTCCTCCATGCAATATATTCTCTATTCCACTTAAACTACACAGCTCTGGCTCCATACCATCTACCACACTTCCATTTCTATGCTATCCTCTATGTTTGGTATGCCTTTTCTTCATCTGTTAAATTCTTACCCATCCTTTAAAATCCAGCTCAAATATCAAAGTCCCTCCAGAAATCTTTCCTGATCACTCTGGCTGTTAAAAATTCTACAGCTCAAACCTTAATAGTATTTTGTTTTGTTACTCTAATAAGCTTTTCATTGAATGTTATATATTACAGCTACATTGTGTTGGTATCTAGTCTTCCACCTAGACTGTAAGCTCCTTGAAGGCTCATCTTGCTCAAACATTGTATCTACTCCAGTCCTTAGTGCAGCATTCTGAACAAAGCAGGTGCTTAATAAATGCTTACTGTATTGAGTCGCTTTGGGGCTTCAAATTTCAAAGGCTCTTCTGCTATAACAGCATCATTTCCTAAGTATCACACAGTGTAGTGTGTACCAAGAGTTACACTCTGCTGCTAGGCAGCTGATTAATTTAAGCAAATACTGAAGAAGGCAAGATAACCTTTAAAATCTCCTAAAAAGGACAGGGAGTTTATTCAGTAGTAACAGTCAGCATGCAGGTCCAACAATGTCAACCCCTCAAGGGAGTTACTTGTCTACACAATCTTTACAGGAACAGATTTATTCTGCCACATATTCTTCCATGTACAGGGACTAGTGAGAAGAACAGAATGAGAAGAATAACTCTGACTCACCGACTATAATCCAGCCGGGACTGGTGGAGCTGCTGCTGTTTCAACTGAAGTTTTGTTTCCTGATGGGCCAGCAGATGCTGCAGGCGCTCCTTTTCAATCTCCAGCTCCATTTTCTGCAGGAGAAGTTGATTCCTCCTCTCTACTGACATCTGCTTTTTGTCATCCATTTCCTCAGGCTCCAATGCCACTGGTGCACATAGCATAGGTGTCCAGGAAAGCTCACAATAATCGCATGATTCCTGATGATGTGTCCTGGGATGCCATCTGGTCATTTTTGCCTGATGGTTCCCATGAACATGATCTTCATTTTCAGGATGACTGTGAACACAGCAATGACCACCTAGGTAAGGCTGGGAGTGTGAAAATTCCTTAAGTCTCATTTCATCTGATGAGGCTCTCTCTGGCAGAATTGAGCCCATTAGCTTTGCTCCTGGAGACCTGTGGTTACATATTCTCGCCCCTGCTTGTGCCCTATTCAGACCACTCCGAGGAAGATGACGGGTTGCCATCCTGGGAGAATAATTCCTGAAGTGCAGATTTGTTTCTGAAGCTGAGCTCTGGTTTGCATATTTAGGCTCATTCTTGTTTTGATAGGTTTGTGAACTTGTGAGGTTCCTACAGGGACCATTCTGTTCCTGATGTGGAGAACTGGGAGAGTCCTTCCTGAAGGGCACCTGAAAGGAAATAAAAGATTGTGTTTCAATTAAAGATCTAATAAAGTAATTTTTTCTCTGTAGCCCTCCAGAAAGCAATGAGATAATCTGCTCCATCAAAGCTGCTTTGAATCAGTCTTCTGACTCATGATGATGGCATTCATATACCAGGGAAGATATGTTCAATAGTCAGGGCTAAAACCATTATCAAGCAACACGCATTTCAGTATATCTCACCAATGATGATAAAAATAAGACAAGAGTTTGCAGACAGCAACTTTAACAGTACCATTGGAGTTGTGAATAGTCTAAGGTTATATAAAAATCAACTCGGAGAGGGGAAGAAACATTAAATATTAATGTCTTAAAATGCTTAATTTTCAATACAAAGACAAGAAATCCATTCACCTGCTACAAATACTTTTAGATTGGCCATTACACAGCATGAGATTTGATGTAAACCATTTCATCTTGCACTGAGTGGGATATTACTTAACACTGGAAATTTGATGAGAAATTTTTAAAATATCTTTGCAGAACACAGATAAAAATGGCCACTTTCTATAAAATATGTTTTTTTAACCAAAAGCTATCATTTAAATACAAAACATGTTTAAATTCAGCCATAAATGGAAGTGATTTTTCAATTAATGCAAGTTATTATATTCTTATAAAATTTAGGCAGAACACAAGCAGTTGTGATTTAAACCTGTTGGGCCAATACAAAAGGAACTTTTCTAGCATTCTTTTCATGGCTCTTCCTTGAGTGTATCAGGGAACATCCTTCCTTACCCTAGGAACAAGGCGCTTAGGCTGACTCATTTCAACAGATCAATGCCTTACTGTACCCTCAGAATATTGGGTCTAATGAAGACATTTCAGAAAAAAACAAAAAAACAAAAAACAAAAAAAAAACCTCAGCTTAGCCCTCAGTCAAAAATATATTTGATTTAATGCCAATAGTAATGGTAATAGAAATAGCCACTTATTATTACTCATGAAGGTAGACATGTTCATATAATATAATAGGGAAAAAAAGATGAACATAAAACAGTTTTCTTAAACTTTCAGTTTAATTTTTGTTTGACCAGGTATATAATTTGGAAAAGGAATAACCTATCTGGTGTTGGTCAGATTTCCCTAACTACAGACCTCTACAACATATAAACTTCCCCTCAATTTAACCTCTGCACGTAGAGGGGACAAAAGCCTTTTAAAAGTAGAGCTGTAAGTCAATTTCCTGCTTTTAATGTTGTCCTAGGAATGGAATGGCAGGGAAATAAGAAGAAAACATTAAACAGACTTCAACAAAGAGAAATAACTCAAGAATCCTTCAAAGCTTTTTCTCCTAGGCTAACTCTTTTCTGTTCCTCTAGGCCTATCTTTATACCACCTTCTTTATTCATTCTTTTTCCTTCCTTGTTGCCATTTTTTCTTATTTAATCTAGCAATGATTCTTCCTCATCCCTTAAAACTTGTCTCCACTTAACCTGTCATCCTCTTTCTTCATTAAAGAAGAGGTAGACTTTCTTCTTACAAGAATTAACCTTTCTACCAGTACTCTTGATTTCATCCTGATGCTCAACCTCTTCCAGAACCCTGTTAAAGCAATCTCCACTTCTCTCACATATTTTAATCATTCCATATCCACTGTTTTACTTCCTTCATCTCACATGTCACCCTTATTATAAACAACAGGAATAATAACAATCTTCAATCACTCCCACTTGAGCTTCTGGACCATCTTTCTCTTCCTTTTTCACTGACAAATGTCTTGAGATGGTAGCTATACAGAGACACAAGAAGAGGAGTAAGGTGGTAAAATGGAAAGAGGACTGGATTTAGAGTAAAAAAAAAAAGTGAGTTCAAATTCTGGCTCTGGTCCTTCCTTCCTGTGTGGTCTGGGGCAATTTGTTTCTCCTTTCTCAGTTTCAGGTTTTGAGACATCTGAGATATTTGAATGACTTTTAAGGCCCTTCTATCTCTAAAGTTATGATTAGAGAGTATGAGGGACAATCTTTAGTATTCTTTTATAAAATGTACATATTTTAATACTGGCAAATTCCACTGTACATGGTTATATATTTATTTTGCATTATGTCAAATCATATGCTTAGAGTCAAGGCTCAAAGCCTCAGGCACACAATTAATAAACAGGGATTAAAATTTTCAAATCTTGCCTAGGATGTAAAAAGCTCTGTCTGTGCATCATACCTTTATGTCCTTGTCATATATTCTTTAACCTCTTGTAAAATGGCTTCTACCATGATCACTTTACCAGAAAACAGCTTTCCAAGAGTCAATGATTCAATTCCATCCCATTCAAATCAATAACCATTTATTAAGTGGTTACTATGTGAAAGGCACTGTCCTAGGGCTGGGGATACAAGGACAAAACAACAACAACAACAAAACAACAGGTTTCAAAGCTCTTACTGGGGGAATACAACTTGTAAACGGGTAACTTAACATAAAATAATTTCACTATGGATAAAGCACTAACAACTACATGGATCAGGAAAGGCCTTCCTGTCAGAGGTTGCACCTCTGTTGAACCTTGAAGGAGGCTAAGGATTCTTTTTTTTTGGGGGGGGGCTAGGCAATTGGGTTAAGTGACTTGCCCAGAGTCACACAGCTGTGTGTTATGCCTCTGAGGCTGCATTTGAACTCAGGTCCTCCTGAATCCAGGGCCGGTGCTGTATCCACTGTACCACCTAGCTGCCCCCGAGGCTAAGGATTCTAAGAGGTGAAGAGGAAGAGGGAATGCTTTGAACACACGGCAAGATAATCTGTGCAAAGATGCCCAAGAGGGAAATGGAATGTATACTTTGGGAAATTTGACATAGTAAGTAGGTTAATTAGGCTAAAGCAAAGAGTATGAGGAAGTATAATATGGATCAATTCTGGCAATGCAGGCTGGACAGATTGTGAAGAGCTACAAATGATAAGCTGAGGAATTTATAGTTTATCCTGGAGGTAGCAAGGCATCTTAGAAGATTCTTTGGCAGGGAAGTGACATGCTCAGACCTTCTAGAGGAACAAGTAATGTTTGGCCTGGAGAAATGAAGATACATGAGTGACACTGTATTTGAAGATAATGAAGATAATGATGTGAAGGGTTGTTATATGGAAGAAGGATCAGAGTTATTCTGTTTGGATCCAGAAAGCAGAACTACAAACAATGGGGGCTGGGGGTAGGGGTAGGGAGAGAAATGTTGCAAAGAAGCAATTTAGGCACGGTATCCCATTAATAATCAATGAAGTTCAAAACATGGAATTGCCTTGAAAGCTCCCTCCTGGTAAGTTTCCTTCTCCCTGGGTGCCATCAAAAAGAAGTTATATGATTCCAAAGAGAGTAAAGAATGAGGCAAAAGACCCATCTATACAAAAATATTATAGCAGTTCTTTTCATGGTGGCAAAGAATTAGAAACTGATGGGGTGCCCATCAACAAAGGAATAGCTGAACAAGTTATGGTATATATATGGCACAATTGTGTTGTAAGAAATGCTGAAAGAGATGGTGTCAAAGGGAAGACTTGTGTGAACTGATGGAAAGTGAAATGAGCATAATCAGGAGAATAATTTATACAGTAACAATATCGCAAAGACAATTTTGCAAGACTAAGAACTCTGAATAACACAGTGATCAATCATAATTTCAGAGGACTCACGATGAAGTGTGCTACCTCCAGATAGAGAGGTGGACTCAGAGAGCCGTTTGAGGCATATTTTTTGTTGTTGTTCATGGCCAATGTGGGAATATGTTTTGCTTAATTATACATGCTTATAATAAGTTTTGTTTGTCTTGCTTTCTCAATGGAGGGAGGAGGAGGTGGAAGGGAAAAAAAGTGTGGACCAAAAAAATAGAAAAAAATATAGAGACTGGAGGACCACTTGTTGGATTTTTTTTTCTAGAAATTTAGTTCTGAAAAGGAGGAGAATTACAAAATGGTAGCTTGGGAAGCAAGAAGGGTGATATGAGGAATTTTTAAGTAGAGGGAACCTGAGATATTTGTAGGCAGCAGTGAAGGAGCTATTACAGAAAGACAAATTTAAGAGACTTTTCTCATATTCTTCATCTTCTCTGACATCTTTGAAACACTGGGGACTTTTGACCACTCCTTTCCTTCTTGAAACTCTCTACTCTGTTGGCTTGACATCGTCTTGGCTTTCTTTCTACCTCTCTGATCACTCCTTTGATGGATGGATTTAATTTCTTTATAAAGGCTTACTGACTTGACTGTCCCTACGAGTAGGTGTTTCTATATATAGTTGAACTGGACAACTCACTATAGCTCGAATGCATCTCATGTGTTTTCATCTCTGGGCCTTTGTTTACACAGTTCCCTATGTCTTGAATTCTGTCCTCCCTTGCCTTTCTCCCTTTGCTACATCAATATCCAAATGTTGAACCTTTTGTACATAGTCACTTCCTTCATGAAGCCATTCCTGACACATTCCCTCTTCCCCTGGCCTTGACTCCTCATTCAGAAGACTTACAACATACCTATTTTGTGTGCATATTATAATCTATTCTTATTATAGTTAATTATTCTGATATCTTATCTCCTCTACTGGGTTGTCAGCTCTTTGAGGGAAGAGAATATGTCTCATTTATTTGTGTCTCCATAAGTGCTTTGCACCTAGTCGTTACTTAATAAATATTACCTAAATTTCACTGAAACTGTAGGATCCTTCCAGTGATGAGCAGATGGTTAAGTCATTGAATGAGTGCCCAACAATAGAGTATATACTAAATGCAATAAAGACATATACTTTCATCACTTTGTCACACTGTGACAAAATGAAATTATCTTTCCTTTTTTATGAGAGCCTAGGGAATTAAAAAAATATTTATCTATCATTTACTGTAGGCTACAAGAGCACCGTAGTGATTTCTCAGTGAATGGCTGGGTACTTAATGCTTGCTTCTTATAAATAAAACCAATTCATAAACAACTATTCAAGAGAGCTCATTTGATCAAAGTACATACAGTAGTACTGGTAGCTGATGTCTGGG